TCATCAGGAGATGATTGTACCTATTCACCATGCAAACCTTCAAGACTTATCAACAATAGACCGTATTCGCGGCGTCCCCAATTTCAGTCGTATTCCTGAACGTGCGGTATAAATTTTAAACCCGTAATGGGATGGTACCAGGTAACTTTGGGGGTCAGAATGAAATCGTAGAATATAGTCTGGTTCTTTGAATTTAACGTTTATAAATAAATACACCACGTTGGGGAATATTGGGGAATATCACTGAAATTGGGATGCCGTATTGACGCTCGTGGAGTGTGCAATTCTCATTTTGCTCTGACGATGCAAATCTTGCTCTTCCTAACAAGTCCTTGTTGGCTGCAGTTCAGGTCCATCGAAACCTCGGTTGAGGTTCATCCATTTTTAAATTTGAGGTAGATTAAATTTTACACGTCGCGATGTGACAGCGACGAGCAATTCATTGATGGACGCTTCACAACGGCGAGGCAAACAGCCGTCGACAATCAGCGGGGATTGTCGCTCATCAGGAAATTGTTGCTGTCACGTTGAAGGGTTTACGCTTTCCGTGTTGCCGGGACAACTCGGACAGATGCTCGCAAGCACATTTTCGTCACCACATGACACCTCTTATCGACACAGTGTACATACAACACAGAGGAGATAAAGGAGACAATCAGAACAAAAACAGCACAACGCGCTGAAGGCACTGCAGTGTAAACTTTTCCCGCCATAAATCTGATGCGATCATCTGCACTCGCCTTTTTATGTACTGTATATAGCAGCAACCGCGAGCGAGCAATATATGACAGTCCGTCGTCCTACAATAACGAGGTGCAAGAGCCAACATGGTATTTATTACCCTTTCTTCATATTTGTTCCGAAAGGGTCAGTCCGTCCGCTGACAAAAGCCACGGCAGGATTCGGCTGGTAATTAATAATATTAAGTTTGGGAAATCGCCTTCCAGTTGCTTTCGGTTTTACACGCCGGACTTCGAGCTTGAGCGTGCTACGCATCATCTTCGACTGGTTGGCCACTCCGATGAAGGATTTGTTGACCAAGCAGATAGGAAAGCTGCTCTCGCTTTTCGGGACGGAGTGTTGATTTATCAATCACGGTCATCCACAGAGCCAGCAAAAGAAAGGTGCGAAGCTCCAAGGGGATGATGTTATCAGTGCGCAGTCCAGAAAGCCATCAATAGCGGCGATATTGGCTGTGAGGCGATCGTAGATTTTGTGGTATCTTCGATAATATGGTGACTCGCTTTGGGAAGACAAACAACGACAGGAAACACGATCTCGCGTATGGATCGGCGTTGCTGCTGGCCTCTTGTTTGGGTAAACAGAGTGTCGCCAGAGGGCTCCAAAACCACGCATGTAAAATGATATGAGACAGCCGTCAGCAATCGGCGTAATTGGAGCAAGAGAAGAACTAATCGCTGTCGGAAATCACTCCACAACACTCCAATTTGCAGGCAGGTGAAGATTCGTCTAGCGCACGGAATCACGTCCACGCTGTAAAAAGACACGCTTTAGGAATTGCAACAACGAATTTTACCACCAGGATCAACTCCAACGTGACAGAAACATCTTTATTCCTCCGCAAAGCAAGAGGATTTGACAAAAATCAGGATCTTTGTCCGACAAAGTGTCTTTACCGCGGGAAATATATATTTCCACACTTTTACAATCTTTCCAATTTTCTATAAGTATCTGCGTATCAACACCGGGGACAGTTACCATTTAAATGTATATGTATTTAAGTGTACATGTAACCTGCTGTGCTATCAGTTGCCTTGACGAGTGAACAGAAACAACTGCCGTTAAACATTTCTGTGCATCGGTAATTCATGCGTTTGATAGTGCCAGCATGGAAGGAAAGCACGCCACCAAGAGACCAATATCAGCCACCGTGACGTCTGGTTCCACCTTCCGTACACCATTCACCAGGCACACCTCCCAGCCAGCCCCGAGCAGCGGGCAGGCGCAACAAGCCCTGCCACAGACCACGGCCGCCCTTGAACCACACAGCGGGCCCAGGCCGTGCGCTGCGGCGGCGGCACCGCCGCAGCTGCGCGGGCCGCGGTCGATCGCGCAGCTCAGGGGCCTGAACCGGCAAGAGCAGGACGCCCTCATCCGGGGCGAGGATCGCCGGAAACCGCCGCTGCAGAGGGCACTGTCATTTCCGGGCAAGACCACCGGAGAGGCGGCGGCGGCGGCGATGGACGGCGACAAAGAGGAGGACGTGCGGATGAGACAGCTAATGCAGGAGCTGAGGCGTTGCCGATACCTGCGGACAAGTCAGGAATGTACGGAGGATTGGGGAGAAGGCTAAACTGCTCCTGAAACGCCGCTTTGCAGCAGGAATTGATCACAGCAATAGATGCTTTAAGAAATTTACCAAAAGCCTACTAAGATTTCGGGCTTATTTACAAACCTATCCACCCCGAGCTAAAGTGCACCCCCAATCGGCGAAAGAAAGACAGGTGATAACAAGTGGCTTTTTGCACGCGTTCTGCATGTACTCAAAGACCATAAAAGCCGGAATAAGTTAGCTACACGTACTCAGCGTGCTCCGCGTCAAACGCACATATACTTGCGCGCCTCGTGGCAAGCCTGTGCGGTGAACACCAAATAAGCCCGCCCTCTTTTGTTCCGCTCGGAGCGGATAGCCATTGCAAGTTTTCAGCCCGCCAAAAGTCAGTGTCTGCGTACTAAGAACAAATTCCTTCC